GAAGAACCAAGTTACATGAGGTTTCTCAATGCCACTAAATTTCCATGATATTTGTGTATCTTGACCAATGGTACATGTCTGATCATTGGCTGGTTTTGGAGCTTCAACTTTTGGTTTGACTGAAAAGAGAAAAGCGATATTTTAGTGTTAGTTGGGAGAGGAAAACATTTACCTCCAACATTGAATTTAGCAGTTTGTTCAGTATGATCAATACCATTGTCGACTAACACACGATAGATACCAGTATCTGGATGATCGCATTTGCTGACTGTGAGCGAAAAGACATTTTGCTTGACTTCAGCTTTATGCTTAGGAGAATTTTTTAGTTCGGTGTCATTAAAAAACCTATGTATTCAAGAAAATATAATCCTTATCGTATGTTCGGTATCCTAAGATAATGATCTTACCAGGTAACTTTTGGTACTGGAAAAGCATCGCAAGTTATTTGTAAAGTTCCATTTTGACCAAGTAATACGTTTTGTTCAGTCAAAGATTGCGTAATGTTTAAGGGGGCTAGAATCAAAACAAGTGTGAATGATTGCGCATATATATTCATTTGCAATTTATTACTTGATTATGTAGGGATTCTATGAGAGTGGAACGAGAATAGCCAAAGTCATATTCTGGCCTCCTTCGACATGAGACATACTTAAGAGAAACTCTAATCTGCACAATACTCCATCCGAGACTAATGCAGTAATTTGCATACAACATCGGTTACAAGACATGCTTCTATCAGATATTGCTCGATCAACAGCACTACATTTTAGCGCGATTTGATTAAATCGAAAGCTCAATTTTCACAAAGAACTACAGAGTTATCAAAGAGAATCTCATTAGTAGAATGCTATTGTAGAAAACAATCCGATGTGATATGCACAACTCACTAAACTGGCAATACTGCGCTATTTGAAACATACACTGTTCACCCCTCTGAACAATATCATACACATCTCGTGAACTTTCACTGTACATAAACATGAATTAGCATGCAAAAATTACAATTATTTCAACTCACAATAATTTCAGTGCCACATCCCTGACTTAGCTTAAAATATTAGTCCTCTTCTGAATATGAAATTTTCAGTGAACACGCTGCGAAATATACACAAAACTATACAAACATTATAGCACTACTCTTCGACTTATCCAGTGTCGAATTTCAAAAGCGAACCAAAGTCAACCAGAGCACGAAAAATTCAACTAAATTCAAGTTTCACACTCCGGCAAATATAATTCCACACAGTTCTTTTCTTTCCGAGTTTAAAAAAAGCGAAATCAATTACCTGTCACATGAAGTGTTACATTGGTTTCTTCAGCTGATGTCTTATTCTTTGCTGTAACTTTGTATACACCTTGATGTTCTGGTTTCACTTCAGCCACTGAGTATACATGGCGTATACCTTCGACACTTGTGAATTTCACTTCTTTGCCATCTTTTGTTAATTGTACTTTCGGAGCTTCTTTTCCATCTACATCGACGGAAAATTCGAACGGTTCACCGACTTTCAGATCAACAAGATCTGTTGTAGGAGCAATCTTAGTCAGTTTTACTGGTTCCAATATAGTTAAAACGCATGGTGCTGATTCGGTTTCTCCAAGTCCGTTTTTGAAAACAACACGATACGTTCCCTCACTGCTTGCAACAGTTGGTTCCTTCAATAGAAGTTGATATTCACTCTTCTCTTCATCGAATAACACATTCTCTGGCGCGACCGGTGTATCATTGAAGAACCACTCTGCGGCCGGTCGTGGAGATCCCCGAACAACAACGCGAAATGTCACATCCTTGCCACTCACCGTTTCTTCTTGTTTCGGTAGTTGTGTTGTAATCAGTGGCGCAGCAAGAACATTCAGATGAACAGTTTCTTCTTGGCTGCCATGTACATTTTCAAGACGACATGTGACTGATCCTGCATGTTGCTGTAAATCGACTTTAGGTATAGTTAGTTTAGCATCACCCGTAGGAGCATTCATTTCGATTTGAGCACCATCTTTTGGTGTCAATGGTTTTCCATTGAGAAGCCAAATTACTTTCGGTATCGGATAACCATCAACTTTCGTTTCGAATACTGCAGTTTCGCCCTGTTGAACTTCTTGTGTTGTCGGTTTCGCGAGAAATTCAGGTGATTCTATAATGAAAGTAGTCGTTTTGAATTGATAGTATAGATGTTTGTTCTACTCACTTATAACAGCAACTTTGCATTTCTTCGATTTCGCTGATCCACCAACATTCGTAATCTTCGCTGAATAATCTCCTTGATCTTCTGGTTGAACATTTAGGATAGTTAATGTGTAGCTATTGTCTCCTTCAGCTGTTGGTGGAGTGACTTGAATGCGATCATTTGGAGCAAGTTCATCATTGCCTCGACTCCAGACAATATCCGGTTTTGGTATGCCAGTAGCTGATAATTTGATTGTCATAGATTCCCCTTTTGTCGCCTGTAAAGTAGCATCAAGATCAGTTGTGATCACAGGTTTAATACCAGCAATATTTAATGTCGTTTTAGCTTCAGTTTCGCCGACTGCATTTGTGGCTTTGGCAGTATAAACTCCCTTGTCAGTTAGTTCGGCATTTTTAATCGATAATGTTGAGGTTCCATCTTCGGTTTCAGTGATTTGGAAGCGTTCATTAGTCTCCAATGGTTGCCCGTTGAAGAACCAAGTTACATGAGGTTTCTCAATGCCACTAAATTTCCATGATATTTGTGTATCTTGACCAATGGTACATGTCTGATCATTGGCTGGTTTTGGAGCTTCAACTTTTGGTTTGACT